AAAGCAACCGAGCTCCACACACTGCTAGCGCGGGTGCTATCAATCATCCATCCTCAGCCGATGTCCAACAGTTCTGTATTATCATGCTAAACACAAATCAATCCTTGCAGTCACATGCCACCCCAACAGAAACCAGAACTCAATTTTCAATGCAACCGTTCCATGTCCACGGACAGCCCCTACAGAGCATGGAACAATCACAAAACACAATCTCCAAAGAATCAATGCAAGACCATATCCACAGAAAAAAGATGTCGCGAGTATTGCTTTCAAGGCATATTGAGGTTCCGACCGAACGATTCTTTTGTAGAAGATGCAGTTGAATGCCGCTCGCACAGACTTGTGCGGGAAAACTCCATGCTTGAATGGGAAAAATCAGAAAACACAATCTCCAAAGAATGAATGCAACACCATGCCCACAGAGACAGAACATGGAACAATCACAAACCACAATCTCCAAAAAATGCATGCAGGACCATATCCACAGAAGAAAGATGCCGACAGCATTGCTTTAAATGCATATCTGTATCCACTTGAGGCTCCGACCAGAGAAGCTGGTGCACAAATTCCATGCTTGAATCCCACGGGACTGTATGATCTGACTAATGACAAATCAATCCTCGCAGTCACATACCACCTCAACAGAAAACAGAAATCAATTTGCAATCCAACCGTTGCATCTCTCAATCGCAGACTTTTACACACAGACGCTTTTGCACACAGACGCTTTTGCACACAGACACTTTTACACGCAGATGCTTTTGCACACAAACACTTTTACACACAGACGCTTTTACAAACAGACGCTTTTGCACACAGACGCTTTTACACACAGACTCCTTTACACACAGACGCTTTTACACACAGACACATTTACACAGACCATTTTACACACAGACACTTTTACACACAGACCATTTTACACACAAACACTTTTACACACAGAAGCTTTTAAACACAGAAGCTTTTACAAACAGAAGCTTTTACACACAGACACCCCTACACACAGACCATTTTACACACACAAACGCTTTTACACACAGACACTTTTACACACAGAAGCGTTTAAACACAGAAGCTTTTACACACAGAAGCTTTTACGCACAGACACCTCTACACACAGACCATTTTACACACAAACGCTTTTACACACAGACACTTTACACACAGAAGCTTTTAAACACAGAAGCTTTTACACACAGAAGCTTTTAAACACAGAAGCTTTTACACACGGTCACTTTCACACACAAAAGTTTTGACACACAGAAGCTTTTACACGCAGAGGCTTTTACACACAGAGGCTTTTACACATTTACACACAGGCGCTTCTGCACACAGACGCTTTTACACACAGACGCTTTTACACACAGACTCCTTTTACACACAGACACTTTTACGCACAGACCATTTTACACAGAGACACTTTTACACACAGACGCTTTTACACGCAGATGCTTTTGCACACAAAAGCTTTTACACACAGAGGCTTTTACACGCCGACAACTTTACACACAGACGCTTTTACACACAGAAGCTTTTACACGCAGAGGCTTTTACACACAGAGGCTTTTACACATTTACACACAGGCGCTTCTGCACACAGACGCTTTTACACACAGACGCTTTTACACACAGACTCCTTTTACACACAGACACTTTTACGCACAGACCATTTTACACAGAGACACTTTTACACACAGACGCTTTTACACGCAGATGCTTTTGCACACAAAAGCTTTTACACACAGAGGCTTTTACACGCAGACAACTTTACACACAGACGCTTTTACACACAGACGCTTTTACATACAGAAGCTTTTACACACAGAGGCTTTTAAACACAGAAGCTTTTACACACAGAAACTTTTACACACAGAGACCGGAGCCGTGAAATCGCAATTTTTCCTCAGTTTTTGACGTTCAACGTCCATTTCGTGCGAAAGGGTCGCGATGGACAAAGTAAAATCGCAATTTACCTCAGTTTTTGACGTCCAACGTCCATTTCGTGCGAAAAGGTTGCCCGTGACACCTCAAAATCGCAATTTTACAGCAGTTTTTGACGTCCAACGTCCATTTCGCGCGAAAGTGTCGCGATGGACAAAGAAAAATCGCAATTTTACCTCAGTTTTTGACGTCCAACGTCCATTTCGTGCGAAAAGGTTGCCCGTGACACCTCAAAATCGCAATTTTACATCAGTTTTTGACGTTCAACGTCCATTTCGTGCGAAAGGGTTGCGATGGACAAAGTAAAATCGCAATTTTACCTCAGTTTTTGACGTCCAACGTCCATTTCGTGCGAAAGGTGCGAAAGGGTTGCGTTTCGTGGCGCTCCGGCGGCACCGCCCCCGCCTTAAGAGAGAGATAGAAAGAAGAGCGAGAGGAGATCTGCAGATGTGAAGGTGTGAAGATGTAGATCTGCAGATGTGAGGGTGTGAAGATGTAGATCTACAGATGTGAGGGTGTGAAGATGTAGATCTACAGATGTGAGGGTGTGAAGATGTAGATTAGCAGATGTGAAGGTGTGAAGATGTAGATCAGCAGATGTGAGGGTGTGAAGATGTAGATCAGCAGATGTGAGGGTGTGAAGATGTAGATCAGCAGATGTGAGGGTGTGAAGATGTAGATCAGCAGATGTGAAGGTGTGAAGATGTAGATTAGCAGATGTGAGGGTGTGAAGATGTAGATCAGCAGATGTGAGGGTGTGAAGATGTAGATCAGCAGATGTGAGGGTGTGAAGATGTAGACCAGCAGATGTGAAGGTGTGAAGATGTAGATCAGCAGATGTGAAGGTGTGAAGATGTAGGTCAGCAGATGTGAAGGTGTGAAGATGTGAAGGTGTGAAGATGTAGATCAGCAGATGTGAAGGTATGAAGATGTATTACAACGGCTGCTTTTTTACGAAGAACCCTTCGCAGGCGCTCTCGGGAAAAATGGCCTCTAATACATCATTAGTGATTGTATAGGACGGCAATTTTTAAGCTTAGATGTTGTTTCCTGAGTGAAGCAATAAACGTCAACCCTGATAGAACAAATCTCGGTTGGCACTATTTGTTCAACACATTTGTGAAGATTCGTGGAAAATGTGCCAAGACCCAAATGAATCCAAATGAAATGTCAATACATCGAAAACAAACTTATGGAGATGGAAAGCAAAGAACGGACATGTTTTTTGAAAGAAGGCGATGAAAGCGAAGATACGTATTTTGACTTGACAGAGTTGAAGGAACACCTCAAAACCCTCCCACCGAATGAAATTCACAACACGAAGAATTTTGATAGACCCGAATGAAGGAATGGATGAAATAGATAGTAGAGATAGAGTGATAAAGGAATTGGAAGAAGGAAAGGGACAATGAACCCCGATTGGAATCTAAAGATGATGAAAGCGATGGATCTGAGAATATGAATGACAATTACGATAGATGGACACCAAGGACGAGAGCAGAACACGCCCAATACTGGGAAAAACAACATGAAACAAGTCTGGAGGAGGGAAACTCAACCTGACCAGAAAACAGAGAGAGAGAGAGAGAGCCCAAAAACACTTAAAGGAAAACTGCCTTTATATGCAGTCAGATAATGCTTTTTATTTACAAAAACAGTGGATGTTGTAAACGAAATGAATGATTGACATTGAAGTTGTATTGAGCAACATGTTTCCTGCTGTATTCTTCTGTGAAACATGTAAATACAATCTTGACTGTTCTAAATCCTTTTCTGAACAGGAGAACTAATTCAAAAGCACACCATTCATACACAAACATTTAACAACAGGGGAATAACATTTTTTCCTTAAAACAAATTATTGATCCAACAGAATCCAACACCAACCGGACAAACCTACAAGCACTGAAAAGAGAAATTTATGTGTTGATGGACACATTCAAACCTAAGCATGAAATTATAGGTACGAAGCATCTTTGATGGCAACTAAAGTCATGTGTCAAAAACAATTGGACATATATATATATATACATATCTCATTCTCAAGAACCTTCACGATCGTGAGTATGTCAATCAGTGTAAGCTGCAAGGATGTTGGTGGTTTCCTACGTTGAAGGGTCTTATACCATAGGTTTAGACATAGGGAAATCGGGAAATCAAGACAAACGACATTGCGCAAATCTTTGTGCGTGAATCCACCGAACAACTGATGAAGGATTATGATAATTGCTATAATCAAGCAGAAATAACAGAGCACCTACAAAAAACTAACAGATACTAAATCCTCAACAACCTTAACAAAAATCCTAACCACCTCAACAATTGACACCCTCATCCAATCCAAACAAACAGGGTGAAAGTTAGGGGCAAATGTCCCCAAACACGGAGGAAAGGACTTCAAAGGAGAGGATGACACATTGAACAGCAGCATAAATACCATAACAGGGAACGCGCTAAAATATAGAGTCCCAGTATCCTCCTTTTACCATTTTTTTCCTGGACATACTGTATAGTTGTATAGATGGTCTGCCATGAAGTGGCAATGACGACATTGAATAGTGGCGTCAATTCACGCAGTCTCACTTGACAGCTCCCGCTCTTGCGTTGCAAGCTCTTTGCTGCAACGCTTGCATCGCAATCAACATGTGCTATCATATGAATTATATGATAGCAACTATTTCCTATGGACCAGTGATAGAAATTGGGGTTCAAGTCGGGTGCATTGCAGAGCCAGCCGTACGCTTCCTCTTGTTTCGAGGGCAGGACAAAGCATTTCACGCCCACTTGTGATCGAACTGTGTATCCCGTAAAACTAGCTGGCTGCATTCACTTTGACTACAGGATTCAGCCGTTTCCTCCAATGTTTTCTTGACATCATGACAAGTTGGTACGCTGTCTTAAAATACTTTGCTGATTGACTTGCAGCTATTAAACAAACTGAAATTTGCAAATTTTCTTACACTTCAGCAGATTCATGCTATTATGAGCAAAGGCTACACAGACCGTAGCGCAAATACACACGAATTGACTTGTACAACACTTACACAATTGGAGCCATGAACATGAACTCTGAAGACGAAGTGACTGCTTTGGGTTTGCTCATTGGACCAAGACTTCTTAAAGGTGGAACAGAAGTGAAGACGTCCACGCTTCGTGGAATCGTTGGAGTCTACTTTTCAGCACATTGGTGCGGGCCTTGTCGAAGCTTCACACCCCAATTCCGCAAGGTCTACGAGCGTGCCAAATCCAAGGGAAGAGCCTTCGAAGTAGTTTTTATGTCAAGCGATCATGATGAGCAATCTTTCAAGGAATATTTTGCCACGATGCCTTGGCACGCGATCCCATACGAGCAGCGTGCTCGTTACCAGCATCTAAATGCCCTTTTCCAAATTCGCGGAATACCTGCCTTAGTTTTGCTGGATGCACACACAGGTGGTGTGTTGGATACCAACGCGAGAAGTAGAGTCATGGCGCCAAATTTCGTCTCCACTTTGCCACGCTCGATTGATTTGGATGCAGCCTGTTTGCCCGAAGTTGGCAGTGGCATACCTATTCTGGTGCGCTATCGTGGCAAAGAGTTTGAGCTTGAATGTGAACCTAGTTGCTTGGCCAAATGAAGAGTTGTCATCTTTAGGTTTGATGTCGAGTAAATGTGTCACCCATCAGTTTGATCCTGAACACTGCTTTCAATACATGTCAATCATGTCATAATACTTCCATGCACAAAAAGGCGGAACAGCTTTGCAGAGGTGAAGGATGGGAAATGCTTCGCATGCAGATCTATTCTATGACCGAAGTCCCTTCAGAGCAAATGAAACTGTTTGGTCTTGGGCTGGACACAGGCAGGAACAGGATACCGGGTCCGGAATCATCAGAATGAGTGGAAGCTCAAGTAGTCTCTCAAGGTACGCGTGAGTCTCTCTGTGTGTATGTTTGTGTGTGTGTGGATCATCTGAACAGATGTCAACTAATTCTGGCAGGGGGGCACAGAAGGCCCATAGAGCTGTGCCCAACGAAGCTCTCGATGGTGTCCTCAGGATATCCAGGCTGATCACCTGGACGTACCTGCATTCGTTTTGCACCAACTTCAATGTCAAATCATTTTTTCGTGAACGGCAACCGGCTAAGCCAAGAACCGGACAGATGACTCCACTTCGAGGTTTGCACGTTTGCCGCAATCTGATATTTGTCAAATTCTTTGGCTTATTTATATATATATATTATATTCTTCATTGAAGTGGAAGCTATTTGAACACGTTCCTGGTCGGGGTCTTGATTTTTCGGAATTACATCCTACTGGTTACTTACTACCTCCTGGGGATCTACCTTACTTCAGCAATCTTGTTTAATTGCACGTTTTGGGATTCAGTTCCCGACGGATCACTACAATGATCCAGCTCTTGTCTAGTGTGATTTCCACGGTGGCTCCGACATGGTGCCATGGACCCGTGTGAGGGAACCCTCTTTAGGGTGAATGCTGACAAACGGACTTCCGAATTCACATTTTTAATCTGGTAATTCGCCTAATTGCAGTGAAGCAGTCGGCCTTTCGGTTATGCACCGTTTTTTGAGATCCTGCTGCACCTTCCGTCCCTGGGATACCTCGGCAAACTTCAATTCTGCTCAAGTGAAGCTGCCCTGAACAGCCTGAAACTGGTTTTTTGTCACCGACAGGAATGCCATCAGCATTACATACATGTTCCATGAGTCCCATCAGAATCTGAAATTCTTATTATCTCTGTATATAGATCACCTTGGATTCATCATGTGGCCGTGGAACCCGCCGACATCATGGCCTACACCTCCATCTTCGAGCTGCCCAGCATCACCACCTACGCCAGTGACACCTTGGACTACACAACCGACTCCTGCACATCAGAGCTCACCACTTCTCGGCCAACCACCACCATCAATGACAATGCAACCGACGCCAGCTACCACATTTTCTCACGGCCCACCTGAACATGTCTTTGGACAAACTATACTGATCTTCACCTACATTGGACCAACCGACAGCCTGCACCAACATTTCCACCTCAACCACCTATTCAGTCACAACCTGTGCCAATCCATCCACATCAGTTGACACCGCCTCCTACTCCTACTGTCCCACGTGCTTCTGAACTTTGGACCCACTTTGCAACCAACAACCCATTGCCCACGGCGCCTACCTCTACGTACCCACTTCCACATCAAGGACTCCCTGTTGGACCTCCACAACCAGTTCAACCAGGTGTATATGCCGGTCTTCCTCAACACGTTCCACCTCAACCTATGACATCCACACCACCGGCTACCGCCACAACAATGCAACATTCACAGCAAGAGATGTTGACTCCTGCCGCCAAAAAAACTCCGCCTGAAAACCAGTGGCTCGGACATCTACATCGAGTTTTGAAGACCGACTACAACGTCAGGTCGGCTCACGGATGGATCAACTCCAATCCAAGACTCAGGAGATGCTGGACAACATCACAAAGACTCTCCAACAACCTACGCCTCCCGTTCCAGTGCCTAAACCTGCTCAACAACCTGACCAGCATCTCGCAGCAACTCACGACCACCTCACACAACAGCGACAACCACATCTTCCCCGTCCACTACCACCTGAACCATCTCACACACATCACTGCCGACCTTCACCTCGTCCAACATCGCCGACATCACCGACGATCTCGACGTCGCTCCAGGACCAGACCCCACCCACCGGCATGCCCTCCAGCCACTCGACATCAACGTCCCCGCCAACCTCTTCCGCGACAACGTTCCACACCTCACCACGACGCGCACCTTCACCTCAACGTCGCCGATCCCCTCAGCGAGAACGCACCAGACACCACCATGGCCGACATGAATGTGGACCCATAAAAGCTCGATTCCGCACTTTCTCCGGACGCCAGACGACACGCTCCCCCTCCCACGGAAAGTTTGAGGGAAAATGGGCTCCTGCAAAGTCTCCGTCGGGACAACGAGCTTCCCCCACTCCACCACCGGCATCTCAGGATCGAGTAGCACAACGTTCTCCAGGGCCGACCTACGACAGTGACCAAGAAGGAGCTGAACCTATGCCCATTGGAGACTTTGCCAAATCGATCAGCTGGCTTGTGGACTACCAGGACGCCGCAAGGACGCCAAGCGCATCAAATGTGCAAATGAGCTACCAGACGGCTACAAATGGAATTTCAAAACCGCTTTGACCACTTCGGAAAACCGCAAATACAAAGAGTTCCATATACCATCAACTATCCCAACCTTACCTCACATCTACCAAGTCTCGAACCTACATCAAGGCCGACAAAGAGATGGTAGCAAACATCGCCAAGTGCTTCGCACGCGCTGGTCTCCTATAGATGTAGAGTTGGCCAAACGCACCAAAAGGATACTACATCGAGAACCATAACCTTCCCACAATCACCGCACCCACTGGACTTCCGGAGAAGCCACCTTTAAATTTGGCAACGATGATAGTGGAACATACGCCATCTATCACCGCACAGATTGGGAAGCGGTCGCAAAAATCCTGGTCGAGGATGTCATCCGACCGGCTGGATGGAGTCGCAATGCGGAAAACATCCCAAACCAGTGTCCTTGCTTTGGCTTTTTTTGGCTACTGCGCAGAACTTACTAATTCGACTGCGCTGACTGATTGGGCGGTTAACCTCTACTGGACTTTACAAGATCGGCAAGGGCCAGCTTCCGACAGGTTTGATAGCAACCTGTCGCACACCAAAGCTCAGCAAGCACATGGCAGGGGGCAATGATCAGCTGCAGCGGGGCTGCCGCCTGGGAGGAATCGCAAAAGGCAAAGATGGCGCGGTTGCCACAAATTCCTCTTGCGCCACGGTTGCCTTCGTGGCCGGAACTCATCAAGTTCGAACATCTACGATCTCACTTGCAAGCCTTCCTCCAAGCATTCGTCACATGGCAAAGCTGATGACACGACTCGCGGTCGACGCCGATCTTCATCTGGATCTATGCGTACACTACTTGATTGTTTTTGAGATCTTTGCGCGCCTGTTTTGGAGGAACAGTGCTTCTCCCGCGTGGTGACGCCACTGCTCGGAGCATCTTCCGTGAAAACATCCTTTTCGTTGCTGCCGCCTGATTTACATGTCTGTCCTGATCTACATGGCTAGGGGCTAAGCCAAGAACCCAAAGATCTTCATTTATTCCGCACCTTCTTTATTATATTGCTGGTTTGGGTTTTTGCCCAATACGATTTCTGCGCGTTGGACCTGGAATGGCTGGGGCTAAGCCAAGTACCCCTATGTTTCTGAAAAACTTAGCCACCATGAAATTTAACCTCTCCGTGCCAGCATTGACTCCGTGAGCTTGTTTTCAGTCGACCCCGCACTGATCATCTACACCATGGCGTCTCAGGACCAGATCTCGCAGTTCTCCCAGGCGATTCTCAGCCGGACTGCTCCCTTTCTCGAACCCCAAGACGTGATTCCTGCGGCTGGCCAGCTCCTTCGATGCCGATGTTTCGGGGCCCCATTCATCAAGCAACGGCTATGTCACAACCTATGTGGAGCACATTGCCTGCATGGCCACAGCATCCCCGCCCTGGTGGTCTCCCACCTCAATTTGTTGGCCAACATCCTCCAATGCTTCCGACGCACTACACCTTCCCACCTCAACCACCACAACATCCTCCACCTCCACCTCCAGGATGTCCCACCACACCACATCGTTACTACACTACTGCGCCGAAATCACCTTCTGGAATCTCTCCATCCCAGACGACTTCTCCAGCGGGCCGCGGACATATTATCCGCTCCTGTGAAATTCCACCGGTCGACACATGGAAACCGGATTCCGAATTTCACGACACTGGCAAAGTCAATGGCTTGGATTTCCCCTTAATTGGCAATTCGGTCCAGCAAGTTCACCCAGTAAAAAGACATCGAGGGCATGGATCCGCTCCAGGTTCCCATATGGAAGTTCTTGTACCAGGGCTTACACAACAACTGGCTGCGCAGAATTTCTGAAACCTATATGCCATCCCTTTTGACAACATTGGGACCACGGTCTTTGCGGCTGAACTTGTCAGCCAACTTCGATCTCGCAATATTGACTTCGATCGCCTCGCGGCCTACCGATCTCGCAATCAAGGGACCAACCTCCAGCAGAAGGAAGCCACTCAGCAGATGGCGAAAGACATTGCCCAGCAGATTCAATCTTGGCTTCCCTCAACAACGGCAACTGACCCCACTAGTCACTAGCCAACAGAGAATCCTGGAATTGGAGACCGAACTCGCCAAGGTCAAGACCACCCAAGGGATACTTCTTCCCCTCAGACCCACCTGGCACTTCGAACACAGCAGGGATGACTCCTATTCAACAAGCACTACACGGACGCTCTCCTTCCACATCTACGTTTGATCAATCGTCTCTCCTCGTCGTGCCGGGCACGGTCAAAGAGAACCGACCTGCCTCCCTGACCGACACCAGCTACAAGAAATGGCTCAGACATCTCGAACTCCCTCAACCCAAAGCGTACACCTTGGAAAAGAATATCCAGAAGGTCCTGCAATGGTGGCAGAACATGCTGCTTCAAAGATGATCCAACGAGTGAGCGTGGCGATGGGCCCTCACAAGCTGAAGAACTCCACCACGGACGGGCTGGTCATCAAGGTCATGACGGTGGCGTTGACAGTGAGCTTGTGACTAGCTTCATATTTGAGATCCAAAGGTTCAACCACCAAGCAATTTTTGAAGGATCTCACCGTTGCGCATTCGTGTATTCTGAGCTTAGCCTTGCTGACTCCGTTTAGACTCTCTCCGAGTATCCAACTTTTTTATGGATGCCGCGTGATTCAAAGTCCGGTGATGGGTCAGT